CATAATTTTGTAAGAGAGGGCAAGTTCCGATCATCACCGCTAGCCTTACTGGTTTTTTTTTAAATTTATTAATACCAGTAGAAGTGAATATCATTGACGTGTGGGTTCAGAAAAAAAATGGGGGGGGAGGGGGGAGAACAGATCCACTGCAACCCTAATAAGCACGTCTTATAAGTCAAATAATCAGGGATCTCTCTGAAGAGTGTATTCACCTGAAAGGCAAGGTATGTAAAATCTTCATACAAATAAATAAACTCAGATAGGTAAAATAGACTTGCATACAACAATTTCTGGAACAAGGTTTTAAGTCTAGAAGAGGAAGCACAGCGGAACTTTTCACCCGAGTTTACTGAGAAGAAAGAAAAAAACAAAGCTGACACTAGGGAAGTAGAAGTGAAACAATACACAAGAAAATGTGTATGTTTTTAAAATGATGTAAGAAAAATAATATTTAACACTGACAATAAATGCTAGCTCAGGTTTGAGTACATTAAGGAAACTTCTCACCATCATATTGTAAGAGAGGGCAAGTTCCGATCATCACCGCTAGCTTTACTGTGTTTGTCCCCATTTATTACCAGTAAAAGAGTATCACCTCACAAACAAGACCAGTAAATAAGCTCACATCAAATTGTGCACTACTTGTCTAACTGCAATAGTTAAATAATTCTCACATGATACTTTTGATTACCCATTCAACAACCAGATCAGACTAGTATATCAACTAGCATGCAGCTGTCCCATCATAAAAATCTAAGTCACACTTTAATTTTACAGTTCTCTCCCCAACCATGATATTCAACAATGTCTAGTTTTTGACAGTTAATGAATTATCATATACAGGGCATACTGGAGCATTTGAGTTCACCTACAAAACACAGAAAACACATAATGTGCACACCATCCTGGTGTGGAGCCCTGGCTCCATTGTGGAAGAAAAAACATGCACTGCTACCATAACAATTATGTGGTAAGAGTTGACTAACTAGGGTTTCCTTTAAATCAGAGTGGGTTTTTAAAAGGGTTTTTTTCAACAAATAAAGAAAAATATTTGTAACATTGATAATAAATTATTAAATAATGCTAGCTCAGGTTTGAGTACAGTAAGGAAACTTCTCACCATCATTTTGTAAGAGAGGGCAAGTTCCGATCATCACTGCTAGCTTTACTGTGTTTTTTCAATGATACTAGTAGAAGTGAATATTATTGACATATGGGTTCAGAAAAAAAGGGGGGAGGGGGGAGAACAGATCCACTGCAACCCCTAATAAGCACGTCTTATGAGTCAACTAATGAGGGATCTCTCTGAAGAGTGTATTCACCTGAAAGGCAAGGTGTGTAAAATCTTCATACAAATAAATAAACTCAGATAGGTAAAATAGACTTGCATACAATTTTTGGAACAAGGTTTTAAGTCTAGAAGAGGAAGCACAACGGAACTTTCCACCTGAGTTTACTGAGAAGAAAGAAAAAAACAAAGCTGACACTAGGGAAGTAGAAGTGAAATAATACACACGAAAATGAGTATGTTTTTGAATTTATGTAAGACAAATAATATTTAACACTGACAATAAATGCTAGCTCAGGTTTGAGTACATTAAGGAAACTTCTCACCATCATTTTGTAAGAGAGGGCAAGTTCCTATCATCACTGCTAGCTTTACCGTGTTTGTCCCCATTCATTACTAGTAGAAGAGTATCACCTCACAAACAGGACCAAATAAGCTGATCAAATTGGGCACTACTTGCCTAACTGCAATAGTTAAATAATTCTCACATGATACTTTTGATTATTACCCAATCAACAACCAGATCCGACTTTGTATATCAACTAGCATGCAGCTGTCCCATCATAAAAATATGGGTGTCACTATAAATTTACACCTCTCCCCAACAATGAATTTCAACAATGTCAAGTTTTTGACAGTTAATGAATTACGATATACAGGGCATACTAGAGCATTTGAGTTCACCTACAAAACAAAGAAAACGCATCATGTGCACACCATCCTGGTGTGCGAGTAAACAGTGCAGAGAAACAGATAGATCATTACTGTCTGAGGAGAATGGCTCTGCGAGGAGTTATTAAAAGGGAATCTGGCCGACATTGGACACTCAGGGAAGGGGTGAGGCGGATATACAACCAGACTGTTACTGGTACCATCAGAATTTTAACTCTTCGCCTGCTGCTGAAGATGGGTGACGGAGCGCTTTTGGGAGTGTCCCGAGTGCTGTGATGTCAATTCCTAATTCAACAGTCAACCAGCCTGGTGTGAAGCGTTGGCTCAATTGTGGAAGAAAAAAAAAAACGCAGAGCCACCATAACAATTCAGGGAAAAAAAAAGGGGGGGGGGTATACACTGCAACCCCAACAAGCATGTCCTAGGAGTCACTAATAAGGAATCCCTGTGAAGAGTGTATTCACCTGGGAGGCAAGGTTTGTAAAATCTGCATATAAATAAGCTCAGATAGGTAAAATAGACTTGCATTCAAAACAAGTTCTGGGACAAGGTTTTAATAGGAAGCACAACAGAACTTTCCACCTGAGTTTACTGAGAAGAAGAAAAAAGCTGACACTAGGGAAGTAAAGGCAAAACAATGCACAAGAAAATGTGTTCTAAAAATTGAACAAGAAAATATCATTTTTAACACTGACAATTTTTTATTTTGTACAGACAATAAATGCTAGCTCAGGTTTGAGTACATTGAGGAAACTTCTCACCATCAGATTGTAAGAGAGGGCAAGTTCCGATCATCATTGCTGGCTTTATGTGTTGTTCATTATTAATAGCAAAAAAAAAACTTATTGGTTCTTGGGATCCACTTGGGAGAAAAAGAGAACAGACCCACTGCAACCCTAACAAGCATGTGGTAAAAGAGCAGGATTAACGATGGAACAACCAGAACTTTCTGTCAAGAGATTATCACCAGTGAACATAAAGAGGGAGAAATAAATCTAAACACTGGGGAATGAAAGGTGAAACAAAACTGGTGGGTTGCTTTATACTGACAAACAAGGAATAAATTTTGTTTTTAGCTTTGAAAACAAATGCTAGCTCAGGTTTGAGTACATTAAGGAAACTTCTCACCACCATATTGTAAGAGAGGGCAAGTTCCAATCATCACTGCTAGCTTTTCTGTGTTTGTCCCCATTTATTACCAGTAGAAGAATACCACCTCACAAACATATAAGCAGATCAAATTGTGCACTATTTGTCTAACTGCAATAGTTAAATAATTCTCACACACCTTTTGATTACCCATTTAACAACCAGATCAGATGAGTATATCAACTAGTATGCAGCTGTCCCATCATAAAAATCTGGGTCACACTCTAATTTTACATTTCTCTTCACAACCATGATTTTCAACAATGTCAAGTTTTTGACAGTTATTGAATTACCATATACAGGGCTTTATTAGTGCATTCAAGCTCACCTACAAAACAAAGAAAACACATCTGGCACCACTGATAGACAAGAACAGATGCACTGCCAACCTAACAATTATGTGGTAAGAGTTAATTAATTAGGGATTTCCTTCAAGTCAGTGTGAGTTTTTTTTTAAAGTGTTTACAAAAGTCTTTTTTTTTAAACGAAGAAAAATATTTGTAACTGACATTAAATGCAAGCTCAGGTTTGAGTACATTATGGAAACTTCTCACCATCATGTTGTAAGAGAGGGCAAGTTCCGATCATCACTGCTAGCTTTAATGTGATTTTCCATCATTACCAGTAGAAGAATATCCTCCCCGTGTGGATTCACGACTTGTGTGCTTGTGTGTGAGAGAGAAAGAGAGACAGAGAGAGAGAGAGAGGGAGGGGTGGCAGAACAGGCCCACTGCAACCCTAACAAGCATGCTGTAAGAGTCGACTCAGAGGTTTCCATGGTGATCCCAGTGCATCCACCTGAGACGCAAGAATGTATACAAATAGGCCAGATATCTAAACAAAAACAGCAAAATATATATATAAAAAATATATATATATATAAAAAAAAAACCAGCCAGATCTGCACATAAAACTCAAGTTCTGGAACAAGACAAGTCCAGTAGTGGAGGAACAACCAAAACCTTCTGCCCGTGAACATGTCAAACAACACCTTCTGCCCGTGAACATGTCAAATAAAACCTTCTGCCCGTGAACATGTCAAATAAAACCTTCTGCCCGTGAACATGTCAAATAAAACCTTCTGCCCGTGAACATGTCAAACAAAACCTTCTGCCCGTGAACATGTCAAACAAAACCTTCTGCCCGTGAACATGTCAAACAAAACCTTCTGCCCGTGAACATGTCAAATAAAACCTTCTGCCCGTGAACATGTCAAATAAAACCTTCTGCCCGTGAACATGTCAAATAAAACCTTCTGCCCGTGAACATGTCAAATAAAACCTTCTGCCCGTGAACATGTCAAACAAAACAGAAAATGCTGCATTCCTAAAACTGCCAATATTTTTTTTTAACTTTGTACACAGAAAAAAAATACTAGCTCAGGTTTGAATACATTAAGGGGAAACTCCTCACCACCATATTGTAAGAGAGGGCAAGTTCCGATAGTCAGTGCTAGCTTAACTGTGTTTATCCCTATTATTATTAGTAGAATATTATTGTTCACAAACAGGACCATTCGAACACATCTAATTATTTGCTGTAAACTTTACCAGTTAAATGATTATCACACATCACCTATGGTTGCCCCTTTTAACAACACACAACGTGATAGGGATATCTACTGCTAGATCAGATCAATACATCAACTATGCTGCTGGCCTGCGAGAAAAATCTGGGTATGTACTGACACCTCTTCCAAATCATGATAAACAACAATGTCAAGTTTTAGACAGTTAATGAATGCCATAGACAATTCTTACTAGTCCGCTAGTACAAAGAGAAGAAACAGTGTAATTTTTCACACAATGTAAAAATTACTGGAGTTTAAATGTCCCAACCAGTGGTTGCAAAATTGAAAAAGAAATATTGTGCTTACGCTCAAAGAATTCTTTCAGCTCCCTCTCTGTGATGTTGTGAGGAAGGTTGCCAACAAACAGCTGCTGGCTGTCGGAGTATCTGGACCCTCCTCCCACACTGTTGGAGCGCCGCCCCCCATTGATGCTGTCAGCATCTCCATCGCTGTCAACACGACTGGCGCTGTTCTTGTCACGATCCGTGACTCTGTCCCTTGGTGGTCTGGGGGAAGAGACATTTATAATTACATATCGCCGCTGATCAACTAGCATCATGAGGGTTGATAAACTGCTGGTGCATAATGAGAGACTGTCTGATGACAGAAAGGTAAAAACTATAGACACAAGAGAGCTGAATGGCCGTAGACCATGAGGCAGACCAAGAAGTCAGAGATAATATCTAGACCTGTCAACACCAAAGAGATGAATGGAGGCAGGTGATATCTGCAGCAATGAACCTTAGGTGCTCAATGTTGAAGAAAAAAGTGGTAGTACATTATAGGCAACTTCTCATCAAATGATTGAAAGAGTGGACAAGTTCTGTAACGTCACTTAAACACACACATGAAATGAATATTCTTGCTAGTATTTTCAATGAGCGACAAACTCATGGTAATATCCTTTCAAAACATTCATTTTAAATAGACCCCTAATGACTATAGAGCTATCATATCTCCCCTTTTCTTAACATGATAATCTGTTACAATCATGATGTATGTGCAGCTAGTTCTCAAGCTAGCAGAAAGCTCCTGTGACTGCCTTCACCTGTTTTCAATGTAGATGTAATATCACAATGCTACACTTTCCTGCATTAAGTTTTGTCCACTCATTTTCACATCATCTGGATGGGAATTATCAATGGACTGAGCCGTTGAGACACACATTACATGCATTCTAAAATTACCTACCTGGGAGCTCTCTGACTTTGTGGGGCTTGTGAAGGAACTCCATCGGGTTTTGGTGGCTCATTCCTGGCAGGTGGTGGCTTGCCAACTTGTCCAGCTGAATGAATGGAGTTGGTATTTGATACAGGTGCCAACCACCAGCAGCATTTTTACTGGCTAATGCAGCCCACGTTACAGGCTTGGCCTCTAGAATGTGTCACAAAAAAATAAATATTAATAACTATACTGCTGTAAATAAATCCCTACACTGATTCACCTGGTATGTGAGGCTACCAGCTAGGGTAAAGATTCTAAGGTTTAAGTGGACACTTAAGTATGTAAGTGGACAAACAACTAGAACTTTCCACTGGTGTTTACAGCCAGTGAAAAGTATGCCACCCCCCCCCCCCCCAAAAGGCAATTAGGTATGCTTTCTTCACGTTCACCAGGCTGTAAAGTCTGCATAAGACACATCAGACGCTGGTGCGGAAAGTTCTGATTGTTAATCTACTTTTGGACCGCAGTCCTGTTCTGGAACCTGAAGTGTTGTGCATGTATCCATTGCATTTTACAGATTGGACTCATTTGTATGCAGACTGCTGGTTCCCTGCCTTTCAGGCAGATGCACTCGGACTTTGAAAGAAGCTCCCAATCAGTCGACTCTTATGACATACTTTTGGGTAGGCAGTAGGTCTATTCTTGTTTTCCCTATAAGGTCCCTGAACCCACACGGGGAAAACGTACGGTTTACAAGACGTTGTAGATACAGCCCCAGCTTTTTTTTCTGTTGTTTTTCTAGGCAAATTTACATGTAGTTCCCAACTGCCTTAGAACTGTCGCCTTTCAATACTGTCAAAACCAACGCAGCTAGGACCAATCCTGGGATTACAAAGTGGGTTCACAACTCCTAGGCCACAGACGCCAACATGTCTCAGATAGTTATTAAAAACTGACAAGGCACAAATTGGAAGTCAGGTTAATAGTTCTGCTTGTCTTAAAATAGTGAACATATATCTTATAAATACTAGACACTTCTAATGTTTGAAATATGATCAGTGTCACAGAACTAGGCATGTCATGTCCACATATTCATAAACCATCAAACAAAATATTCTGACCCACGGTTATCAAGTCTACAGAAGTTTGTGTGATTTACAATATGAGAGAATACTAGGTTTAAGTAAAAGATCCTTTTCTATGTCTTAAGGTGCACTGGGCATACTAGGCTAGACTGATTGGCACCTTTCTGTCTTTCTAGGTGATAGTGTTATATTGCGCTATGAGGAGGCATGGGACTCATGCCCATGGCGAGTGTGGCTAGCAAGACCCGACCCATGTCAAGAAAAGTCTTTCACAATGATAGCATGGAATTTCAGGACCATTGTTGTCAACATTTGTGTTTAATCCGTTTCTTTTCAGACGCTCAGCTATCATCCTTTCTGCAATCTTTTCTTTCTTCACTCTCATTTCCTTCCTGATATGCCCTTTCCACACAACACGGTCCATGGCATGTTGTTTTCATGTCCATCTGAATACCTGTATCATTCTCATGTCCTGCTTGCACACATCTTTATACTGTAGTAGAGGTCGGCTTCATCTTCTACCTGTCTAATTCACCATAAAGGATGTCCTTAGGGCCATCCTACCTCAGTGTTTGTGATTTTGTCCTGCCAAGTCTTTTTCTTAGGCATCGTATGTGAAAGCTATTAAGCCGTCTCTCCTGGTGCAAATAGGTTGACAAAGTTTCACTGCCGTAAAGCAGAGAGTGCTGAGAACACAGGCCTGATAGACAATTGTGGGAACTTTCTGTTTTCCAAAACTCTTATCAGTCTGCTCATTGTTATTGCTGCCTTACCTATCCTGATAATTTCTTTGTCCAGCGAGTTTGCTATTCACTGTGAAACCCAGATAGGTAAATTGGTCTACTGTCTCTAGCTCTTCACCATCAATGTAGACTAGGTCTATCATTAACAACTTGCACCATAACCTTTGTCTTCTTTTTGCTGATTGTTTATCCAAGTTCACAGCATGCATCAGCAAATGCAGATAGTAAACATTGAAGCTCCTCTTCTGAGTGGGTGGTTATTGCGGCATCATCTGCAAACAGCAGCTCTCTGATAAGTACCTTTCTTATCCTGGTTTTGGTCTTCAGCCTGCGAACATTGTAAAAGCTGTCAGGTCGAGAATGAATGAATATGCCTCTGAGTGTTCAGCATCGTCCAGATCCCCTTTCAACTCCTTGCAGCCCCATTCTCCCCGGACCATCATGATCTATATGTGCCTCCGCATTGTTCAATCGCTCCCAAAAAGTCCTTAAAACAACCATCTTGTCATACATAAGTTTACCACCAAGCGGTGCAGAACCTATCTGCTTGTTCATTTTCCAACACACTGGCATTACCTGAAGAAAATATCCAAACTACATGGGACCTCTGAAGTGATGGTGGCCACTTGGCATGGAGCATGCCTGTCTCCACTTTTCTCAACATGCTCTGCGAGTCAGTTACAATCATGGAATGTGTGTACAGCTGATTCTCAAGCCAGCGGAAGGTGGCAGTGACGGCTTTTAACTCCATTCTCAAATAGATGTGATATCATATGCCAGGCTTAACACACGGAGAAACCTGACAAACTAAGTCACAAATGATAAGTACCTGGCTGAGGTTCATGGTACTCAGGCTGTTCAACAACGGGCACCGGCTTGGATTCCACCTTGGGCTCAAACCTGTCCTCTTCAACGGGTGCCTCCTCCAGCTCACTAGCCTCCGGTTCAGGAACAGATTCTACCTGTGGTTTTAGAGACTGTGGGGATGCCACTACAGCTGCAGCTGTCTCAGTATTCTTTAAAGCTTCTACCTCATGCACAGGACCATTGCTGTCAATAAAAACAACACTGATATCACTGCAGGAAGGAGACTAACACACATTTCACCTGACAGGAGCAAGAAAACTGCAATAAGCTTGGTAGCTTCAGTTAATTAATTAAACACCAGGTACCAATCTGTGGAAGTACAGAACAACTTAGTGTGAGTTGGCTGAGGGACTATGCTCCACTGGGGGGACACAAGACAGAAGAAGACTGCTCTGCCAACAACAAAGTGTCATTACTGCATGTATTTTTGACCACTTCTACAGTGTAGGCAGGGGATATTTGAGCCTAATGATTTAGGGTTGCATAGTCAGCAGTTGCCATGGATTGTACAGGTTAAGCTTATAAGTTAGTTGCCCCAACAGAAAAAATCCTAAAACTATTACATCAAAGTGACATTTGAGCAAAGACACTAAGCTGTCGCCTTCCAAAATTTTCTTTACGGGAACAAGACCTTACTCTCACTTCTCAAATAGCTGTTATACAGAGCAGGCTGATTGTAACCATTTTCAACTGATGTCACAATTTCCATTTTATCCACTAGGTGGTGTCGCTTATAATCCAATGCTCAAGTAAAGACATGCTATTAACATCAGCAATATCAGTATTTGTAGAATACAGCTTAAAAAATTTTTTTTTAAGTAGTTTAATTCCAGTTTGTTGTTGATTTCATCAAAGATATCTTGAGATTCTACAACGAAACAGCATACAATGCAACCAATTGTGGCCTAGCTCGGAAACCAATCATTCGTTAACGTTTTGATGACAGTGGCACAAAGCAGAAAATAAACAAAAAGATATAAACAGGTCATACAACAGCACACTACTGAAGGATATTTTTTTTTAATCTCTTACCTCACAGGCTCCTGGAGATAATAATTTGCAGTGACCTCTGGGCCTGCAGACACTCTTTCCTGAATACCAGCGTTGTCCAAGGTTTCTTCACGAGGATCAATAATGAAAGCAGTGTCTGAAAAGTAATTCAGTATGTTAGCATAATGTAAATGGACAAATGTGCTTTAAAACTGAATACTGTGTTCCTGACTTTGTGGATTATTCAAAGAACTGTACTGACTTACTTTCCCTACCTTCCAACTAAGAACTAAAGCTAAACATACACAAAACGGACAAGTGTAGCATCTGTAAACACCAGCTATAGTGCCAAAAAACATTCAGTCACTGATAAACAAATGCACAACAATGTTCCAGGATGTAATTATACAGAAAGCACTGGCTGAGTCTGGCTGTATATTCAACATCTGGATAAACTTTGGTGTTTAGAGGAGACAGAAAAGCTCTCATTGAATAAATCGCATACACATACTTCTAAACAACGCTAAGATCCTAATTCTTCAATCAGTATCCAATTTCTAACATTTACAAACTTTGTAGTCTATAGGGTAATTGCTGCTAACACTAATAACATATGACTTAACAATCAACGTTGTTTTAATGTAAAAATTAAGCTGCTTGGGATATTCAACGCTGATTTTACTGATGTTTGGTAACCCTACGAGTCTCAACCTCTTTATTTGCAGCAATGGATCTTGCACCTCTCGTAACCCTGAATCAAGAAGCCCTCTGTTGTGACAGCTAAGTAACCTGCATTCTCAAATAACTGGGAAGCAGCAGCTCCCTGGTCAACTCAAATCCTGTTACAAAAGTCAACAACTTAGGCATCTGCACACAAATATTCAGTTAAAGTTTAAAGTGTGATACTGCAGAAGAGATGACAAACTTCTAGATGGTGTCAGATAAAGAAAATTTTAAAAATAAAGACAACATATGTTCACACAACAGGTCTGACATCAAATACATGGCTGCTTAATAAAGCCTGGAAAAAAATCTACACCTGTGGACTTACGGTCTTCCTCTGCTTCAGACTCTTCATCATGAAACACTTCATCTTGGTACCTGAAGATGTCATTATGTACGTAGAACTTCTTTGGTGTCTGGGGCACCAACACAAATGTCTGCATGAAGCGGCGCATGGGCTCTCCGTTGTTGCTCAGCTCCCCGGTTACCTGGACAACGACAGAGTCCTCCACGGTAGCCTGGGCATCCACCTGCCTGATCTTGGCATGACAGTCATTGAAGTTCAGCGACACAATCTTCTTATGGATAGCCTATCCAGATAAAGAGAAGTATTCTGTCAGCAACAAAATCATGTTAAGATGTCTTGATCATACAGACATTTTTGACAGCAAAGAATTTGTTACTAACTAGACAAAAGCAACATTATTAAATACACCAGCAAAAGATCCTTCTTTCACGTACCAATTAAAAAATTTGAAAAAGTAACGGACCATTTCCCAAGCCTTTAGGCGTATGGGGCTAGACCTATATTTTTATAGACCAAACGACACAAAATGGATGATGTGGTCAGCATCATACCAGCTGCCAGGACTGCTTTTCAGTATCCACTCAAGGTTGGGTCGACCTGGGAGTCATTTTTTTTTAAAAATAAGCCCAGCTCCGCCACAGCGACTCACACTATTTATTTACAGCAACCATTTATCATATTCAACATGGTACATCTATGTGCAAAAAAAAAAAAGCCTAGTGCTCTAATTAACTACTACAGAGACACATTCATTATTTCCTGACTGACAACTGCATGTAAATTTAAGATTGTATGCTTATCTTTACCTCCTGTTCTTCAGCCGTGTATCTCCATATTACCCAACATCCCACAAGCCCTTTGTTCACCTGGTTCGACAAAATGAGGCAGCCAGTCTCAGGCTAACCCTCTTCATTCATTTCGTCAAACATAAATGGCCACTTTCATTATTCTTTGCTTTCTTTAAAAGCCCCAGCAACTATGTCCTTTACATTTTCTTAAATGAGATGAACAATCAAGTTCTGAAAAAAAGATACAGAAACTCCCAACTGAAAAAATGTGCAGGTTGACTAGTTCTCCCCACCCTCCACCTGTGGCTTCAAGCCACATCATGAAACCAGTGTAGCATCTATTAAAAACTAGCTGCAGTACCAGACAACATACAGCAGTCACTGATAAACTGATGCACAACAATGTTCCAGGATGTAATTATACAGAAAGCACTGGCTGGGTCTGACTGTATACTCAACATCTGGATGAACCTAGGTGCAAGTAGCACAAGACAGGAGTAAAGAGCTCACAGATGCATGAAATAAAATTAAAAAAAATCATGCCAAGATCTCAATCCTTCTGTGTGTATGCAACTGAACACAGACCTAATTTTGTAAGCTATTCAACCAATTTTATACCAGGCTTGTGAATTTCACTACATTAGCAGCTAGTTTTCTATTGGACAGGGTGATAAATTTCACACTAACCCTCAAGGGTTATCTATTATGTCATGCACAGTAGGGTGTGTTACTGTTTGTTCTTTCCTTACTGGTTTCTTCCTAAAATACTAGCAACTTTGTTCTTGACATTTTGTCAAGCAATCAATTGTCTCTTTCTTAGCATTTATCAGCTGCAAACTAGCAAAAAAGTTGCTTTTAAGTCTATTATTTTGCTTTATGTCTTGTTCCAGAAGTTTTATGTGCACATCCATTTTACAGATCTACTTTATATATATGCAGACACAATGACTGAAGAAATGGCTCTAATTAGTTGCTTTGTACGAGATGCTTATTAGGGGCGATAAGTCTATTCTTGTTTCCTAGGAACCCACATGGGGACAAGCGATCAGTTGAAAACTGTCAATTACCTCCTGGCCAATGACTGGTGGTTGCTCACAGCCTGCCTTCTCCACACCTCCATGAACAAAAGCAGAGTTATTGCTATAAAATCTGAAACAGATTCAAGAAAAAAAAAAAATTTCTGTCAATATGCCTTAAACAATTTAACACCTGCTTTACATAGTCCAGCTGCAGCAGTGGTTCGTCCAGTTTGGTCCCCGAGAATATAACACTTTTAATTCAATGAACTCTGATAACAATCAATAAAACAAAGTAGCAGGACTCAATCAGCTCTTAATTAATCATATTTTGAAAAAGAAAAAAAAAGATCACAGTGGCTGCTTCTTTTTTTCCCTGTTTTCTTGACCCTGAAATTAACAAGCGCTGGATTAGCAGAGGTGAGAGCGCCACAAGGGAAAACAACCATTATATATGCACCCTGTTTGAAACAAAGAAGGTACTTTATGACTCCAGGGTCAGATTAAAACTTACCTGTGAAGGTGTAGAGGTGCTTCATGCAGCATAGTGTAATACTGCCGAACAAATTCACGGCCAACTTCCTGGGGGCCAGGAGTTTCCATTACCATTGTACTGCAAAAAAAAAAAAAAAATACTGTTGCACATCAACTGAGGATATACTACATCTTATGCTATATGTGAACTTATGTATTTTAGCGCCTAATTTGTGGTTTTCTTAAGTGTTTGCTCCTACCAAACAAACTGACCCCCGAATTATTTGTTAGCTTTATCTACCACTGGGTATCAAACAATTAGTTTTGATAGCTCAAGGTGGTCACCATAATGATCACTATCACTGCCGCTTCGTACAAGGCGGTTTAAGAACACAACACTACAGTATCTAATTTACCTAATAGTGATGACTGCATTTTGATCACTTTCTAAACAATAATAGTCACACACAGACATGTGTACTTAATAGGATAACTGGTTATATTCCTGTCAAACAGTAGGTAAGCTGGCAATACAGATTTCTGATAACATGCACTGTATTTGCTAATTATTTTATTTTTTGCTAATTCAATCGCATACTTTTTTACAAAAAATTTTTTGCAGCAACAAAATCAAAATAGTAGTAAGTTAAAAACTGATCAATCAACTAATACTAATACTGGAGTTTTATGTCAAATAACTTTTAAGTGAAGCTTTCCTTAAATGGACGCTTTCTTACCCACCACTAGAGCACAGGAACATGCCCATTTCTCATTTGTTCCTAATTCTCTTGTTTTTTTCTAGTCACCCTCCAGAATCTTCGGTGTCACCCAGTGAAACGACAATCTCATGTTAAACGACAATCTCATGTTAATGTCATTTTCCCACTTTCTAATCCACAAGAAGTCAGCTTACTTCACTGCTCCATACTTGCTATTTTACTCCCTCTTTTTTGCATATTCACTAGTTTAAAAAAAAAAATTTGAAAAACAACTTTTACTTTCAGTATGCACAAATCTCACTTGCAATCCAGGTATCACAAGATTCTTTTTACACAACTCAGCAGCTGTAGTGATGCACAACTCTTAATTGATCAACCGTACCCATCACAAAACCGTGTGAATCCAGCCAAATTAATGCTCATATTTGAATACAGCAACTGGCACCAGATGTGTCTACATCATCATCATACCACAAGCCTTTACTCGTTACTTGCTAGGACATTACCTGGTAGCATTTTTTGTTTAAATCCAACTCACTGAGGAATCAAACTTACAGACCTGAGGTCCTGCAGGACAGTACATAATCATAATGAGACCAGAAGTGAATTATTCAGAACTGTATTCTCTTTGACAAAACTTATAGTCAATATAAAATCAGGTCACTGTGCTACCTTTAATGGTCATATTATTTTCATGCACAATTTAGAGATAATCATTCATACTGCTTGAGACCAGTAGAAATGAAGTGTTTTTTTTTTAGGAATGGTAAAAACCTGGAAACAGGTTAAAATGGATACAGAATCAAATTTAAAAGCTGGGAATGCAAAATAAGTAAACTTTAATGTGAATTATTTATTTCTATCATGCAATTCAATTCTGGAGCAATCTTTTTGACTGTCAGAAACATTAACCAAGAAGGCGGTCAGTGAAATAATAAATCTTTTTATTTTCAAACATAAGAACTAGCCAAATTTGATCAGATATTACTGATGATGAATGTTAGAAACTACTGAACATTTTAATTTTAGTACTCTGTTGTCTATTCTACATCTGGCTGACTGGTACTTCAGTGCACCTAATTAACAGGTCCACATTAAATGTTTGAATTAACATAGCTTAGATGAAAAAACAGACTTGGGGTGGTGTTCCTAATTAAATATGTATCCTATACCAAATAAAAAGTACGTAAAAATATTAAAATAATTATTTATTATTATTGAAAAAAGATAGGAACTAGCAGAATTTGACAACAAATTACAAATGATATATATGAAACTTGTGAAATAAGTTTTAGAACTTTGCTGTCTATAATAAACTTGTGGCACCTAATTAACAGGTCCAGATTAAATTATCAGAGCCTGGATCGAGAAAGTGTTGGGGTTGGGGCCGAAATTAATATCAAACATCTTAATCATTATTTATGATTTCAAATCTATTCTTAGACCAGATTAATTGGCCCCAAAAAAAGTTCAAGCACAGAAAAATTATTAAAGTATAATATATCTAGAAGTTTAATTCATGAACTTCGTATATTTGAAACAGTGTTCTACCGGAATACCGTTTCAATTCGCATGGGTTAAGTATTATCGGCGTCTAGAAGATCAAATCTTTCAAGGATAAAAAAGTGATAATCTGTTATCGAGATCTGATCCCCGATCAAAAATTTCAAAATGGTTAACTGGTTACTGTCACTGATTCCGTTGGTTTAGACCACTTTTGTTTAATATTACTTGCAAATAACTGTAGATGTGCAGGTATGATAGGAACGATCACAATATATTATACGAAATTACCAACCGCGTTGACAACAGGCGTGAAAAAAAGTCTATTATTACAAAGCTATAATTCGTCTCAACAGGCAGACGCCATTAAATTTCTATACTCGGCCACGCTTGTCCAGTGGTGACAAAGTCAAAATTGGAAATCTACATCAGAAATTAAGTTAAGAAATCTTTAGCAATCATTCTTTCAATCCGGTGCAACTACCAGAAGAAAATGAGATAAATTAATGAGAAATTGTACAAAATTCTTACAAAAAGCAGCAATAGTTTTGCTCAAAATGTCCCTGCCTCACACATGGGATGTCGCAAAAGATTGGCTAGCAGAAACAATGAACTGCGCATGCTGGGCCTCTCCTGCAAAATGTCCGTGGAGGCCCCTTTTTTTCTTCTTACTCCCGAAGCAGGGATAGCGAAATAATTATGAATATAACATCCCCATTATGATCAATTTCACTTTTAAAATATCGATTATTATTTTATAATTAAGAATAACTATTTAAAAAAACATTTTATAATTATTTATCTCTTTATAAGAAAATAAATTATTAAAACTGTGTTATTAGTTACAAATGTAAAGTTCCGGTACTATTTTTAAAATCTTTTAGAAGAAAATTTACGTCGTAAGTGAAGTTCATAGATTTTACTTTTACTTTGCGGAAGATGTATGTCTGCTTCTTCTTCGTCTTCTTCTTCTTCTTAGCATTCACTTTCTATAAACTCCAGCGGAAAACCCTATTTGTTCGTCCACTCCGGATTTCAATAATCTTGTCCCAGAACCTGAGTGTTGCATGCACGGCTGTTTGACAAATCTGGTTTGTGTGTTCAGACACTTGGTTCCTTGCCTCTAGTGCAGATGTACTCCCATTTCGACATTTAGTCGACTCCTATAACATGCTTGCTGGGGAGGCAGTGGGTCTCTTCTTGGTCTCCCCCCCCCCCCCCCCCACAGTGGGACCTCAAAACCCGCACGAGGACTGATTGTTTTATCACATATTTTAGGTACTAGACTTCTGTTAGTCCGTGGCCTTGGTAGTCATGTCTATCAACGGATATTGGTATACAGACCTGACTTTTCTATGCAGAGTACTCACATAAGGTGCAATTTCTTTCTGTAAGATCAGAGTCCATAATGTCCTTGTCTAGAGCATGCGGTTGTAAACCTGTAGGTCGCGACCTTTTTTTGGGTCGAACCACCCTTTCACAGGGGTCGCCTAAGACCGTCGCGGTTATAGGATGTTTGAGAGCCACTGCTCTAGAGCCTGAATGTTGAATAAGGAATCGGCATCATAGCACTCGGGACACTCCCATAAGCGCTGCGTCTCCATCTTTAGCAGCAAACGAAGAGTTCCAAATCCTATGGCACCTTTAACTGATTGTATATCCGTCTAGCCTTTCCCTTGAGTGTTGAGCAGTGGCCAGATTACCTGGCAACTCCTCGCAGCGCCATTCGCCTCTGACCGTAATGATCTATGTGCGCTTCCGCACTGTTCACTGGCTCCCAGTCATACATCAGTTCACCACCAAGTGGTACAGATTTCTTCTGAGCCTACTTCTCTCTCAATTGCCTCGTCTTCTCCTCTTCCCACTCACTTCGTTTCCACCTGAAGATGGTATCAAGCACAGAGCACGCACTCCGTAGCTCCGGCGATGATTGCTCTAGAGCCTAAATAATAATAAATATGATAATGATAATAATGCTCTAGAGCCTAAAGTCACCATCTGCTTAGAACAGTTACTACAGTGACCATTTGTGTGTGTGGGGGGGGGGGGGAGGGGGAACTGAGAATCTAGCTGCTATGCTACAGTTTCTCCCCCACTTAGAAGTGATGTCTTCAAAGAAACAGTTTTGGTCGGTGGTTAAGAGGACTAATGTTCCAGTTTTACGCAAGGTGAATTCACACAACATACTAATATACACACAAAAAAGGACAAAATAGGCAATTAATTCTGATTTGAAAACAGAGATCATCACGTACATGTCACTACATCAAGAGATGGAGGTAGTATCGACATCTTTCCGATGGCTTGAGGGCAGCACAGCCCGATTTGTTGTATCTTCTCCTTCTCTTTTCGCTCGCTTGAAATAGATTTTCTATATATGCAATATTGTCTCTAGTATCTTCTTCTTGTTGTTCACTGGCTGTGATTTCCGCCGGAAAGTCCTGGTTGTTAGTTCATTTGGACTTTTGGCTTTTACCTGGACCTGAGTTTTGCGTGTACATTTGTTTTATTGGCTTATTTGTTAGCTGTAATGGGGGATATTTTCACCTTGATTAGGAAGGTTGGGGGAAAGGCCCAAGCTAACAATAATACAGAGAGAAGCCAGATATTCGGATTAACCGAGGTTTTTAAGATAGGTGACGACCACGAGTTATCACGTGGAACCCAAGGAGAACTACCACAGGTCGCCACGTGGAACCCAAGAACAACCACGTGTTGCCACGTGGAACAAACACTGGGTATAGATTCAGACCCCAGTCTGGTCAAGTTAGTATGTGTTGACCGTCAAAACGAGAACGTGAAACTGATAGTTGCGAGAGGAAGACCAGTCGACAATATCCATCGAAGCCAAGCCAAGCCAAGTTGTGTAAAGCTTGATGCAATGACCAGATCCATCTTTGCGGCAATGTGGAA